GCTTCTAGTAACAAGTGCCTTACTAGTAGTAACAAGAAGCTACTAGGGGCTCCTGGAGACAAAGCGAGAGCGCCAAAGCACAGATGACTTCGGAACGCCAAAGCGAGGAGCGCCAAAGCATGCGCAGCGTGTCCCCGGGCGAACCGCGGCGAGCCAGAGACTGATGATAGAGAGAACCGACAAAGCAGGTGCAGATGCAAAGCAGGTGCTTTTGGGTTGGAGGCCATCGCTTTTAGGTTGAGGGCCATTGCTTGCAAAGCAGGTGCAAAAGCGTTGAAGGGAAAGGAAGCCATGGTGCAATTATACAGCATGCCATGTGGCGTTCCAGGTCCGGCCAGGCGAGCTGAATCATCGATGAAGGGCTTAGAGTGCGAATAGAAGCCAAGCTCCACCTCCAACTCTTCACCAAGAAGACATTTCACAGCGATCTCTGAGTCTTTGAAACTTGGAGTTGGCTCGTGGTATTTATGGTATTCTGTCGCGAAGATTCCACAGCCCCTGTCAAACAGAGGATGTGACCTACATTGTGGTGCAAAGACGCCCCCTGGAGTTAATGACGGAGAAAGTAAACCGTGCAGCGTGACATGTTGAAACGTTTTAATTTAGAGTTGATGATTTGATGTGACAAAGCTTCCATTATGCAGTATGCTCACAAGTCGAATTTCAGTAAGGTGTGGCATATTTGGCACAAATGCTTTGCAGCTGTTACTTGTCAGCTCAGTGGCCTGGCCACACTGAGAGGTAGGGAGAGCAGATGGCAGTCCAACCACAAAAAACAAAGTCAATTTTAAGTAGGTTACCGGTTACCACTCTTATTTGGTGTGCAGTGGAATATTTATACTCACTTCCCTGCAGGGCCTGGAATGCAACCGGTTTATCTTTTGAAACACGAGTGCTTTCTTCAACACCACCTTTCTTTGACGTTGAACCTGGGGCCTTGTGTCTCACCATGGCCGGTAGCCTAGAGAGGGCAGTCCACTTTCAGATATTTCAGGCTTGTTCAACCTAAGAGCGTCCTTGTTCCTAGTAGTAAGGCCAGGAGCCCCTAGTAGCGTTCTTGCTCCTAGTAGCGATGCCCTTTGCTCCTAGTAGCGATGCCCTTGCTCCTAGTGGCATTTTGAGAATTCAAGGTGTGGCTTTTTGCGGCCGCCAGGTGGCTCAGGATGACTCTTTTTTGCGATTGTCAGGATCTGTGACCCTACTAGCGATGGCATCCCCCCTACTAGCAATGGCCTCCAACAGCTCTAACATGTGTTGGTTCTTGCACACTAACAAATTCACACTCCGTCCAGTTATGAGCAGAAATTTGGTGTGAATGGGACCAGCCAGAATCGTTTGTGGTGGAAGTGCAGCCTTGCAGGATGGTATACTGATGGTATACTGTAACATGAACGACAGCAAAAGAAAAGAGAAAACAAGACACCGCCACGGTTTCGTGGCAGTGCGCACGAACGTCTTCTTCTTTTGACGATAGCAAGGATTGAGGCACATAAGAAAGAACACAAAGGAGGGGAAGATGCATGTCATACATAGCACAAAGAACTCGCGGTTGAGCTAGTCCACTTTGATCAAGACTGAGACTGAACAGCTTCAAATGCTCGAGACTGAACAGTAGTAAAAAAATATGTGAATTTTAGCCTTGTGCATCCTCATTGCCACCTGCCACCGATCGCCGCATCCCAAACCGCCCAACAGCTGGGCCCACTTGAGCATCCGCTTTGTGAAAAGGCGCTCGCGGCGTCTTTGTCTTGTTTTCCTTTCGTTGCCACAAGTTGGCAGCGGAGCCCGACCTGGGCTTTGGGCCATGCCGGTTGCTTCCGTCTTCGCTGGCGCCGCTGCTCCCGAGTTTTTTCCGTTGGATGGCAGCTCCGAGGACGATGATGGCGACGGCATGGAGCCTTCCGCTACCACTGCGCGACCTGGCGAGCCCTATGAGGTCGAGGAGCCAGAGCTGATCCTCCTCGAGACCGACATGGATGAGCAGCGGGTTGATGCGGGGAGCACCCCTACGGGATGGAGACCTTCGATACCCCCTGGACTACCTCCTCGCGCTAAGGAACCTCGTGAAGCCTACAGTCGACGGTACGCGAATGGCGACCCTCCTGGGCACTCTGGACCTTATGATGCGAGTCGACGAAACACTCCAGGTCCGGTCCCTCCTGAACCTGCACACCAACCTCGCTCCCGTGTACCTCCTAGTGATCCTCGCGGTCGAGCACGACCTGATACGGTGCTGGCCTGCCTCCATTGTGGCAAGCTTCATGTTGGAGCCGGTCACACTCAATGCCAAAGATGTGGAGGTCAAGGACTGTTTGACACAAGACGGCCAGCAAAGCACGAGACTTCGTATGGCACTTGGATGTTCATGCCAGCCGGATCGTCTGACCCTCCTGACACCCCTGAAGATCTCCAGGCAGGCGGACGACCACATCAGGCCCGACGACGTCGACGACGACGGCATGGACCACCTTCTTCCTCGGCTCCGTCGGCTGTGGGCTCAGAAGAACAGGCAGAAAGTGAACACCCTACCATGGACCCGGTGGTCGAACCTGGTCCTACCGTTGACCCGGTGTTCGAACCTGATCCTTCTCCTGCACGGCCTATTCCCTCGCGCTCACCGACGGCACGAGCAACCTTCGTCCCACCGCCTGAGGAGGCTGCTGACAAGTCCGAGGGTGACCAAGTGCTGGACCTCCTTCGAAAGTTAGTGAAGAAAGAGAATGGCAGCGGCGGCACCAGCTCCAATGCCTCGTGGAACTCCTTGAAAGGGCCCGTGAAGGGCGTCCGCTATCGTGGCGGCGCACCTCCTGCTCCTCCTACCTGGAAGTACCAGGCCAATGATGTCAGGGCCTACGAGCGCTTCGAACGTAAGGTTCGCCTATGGGAGCTTCAAGCACGACATTGGATGTCACGAGCCGAAGCTGGTCTCGCCCTCTATGCCAGCCTTCAAGGCGAAGCAGAGCAACAGTTGGAGTTCCTCGACACCGACCGGGTGTACTCTCAAGAAGGAGTCCAATACGTATTGGATGAACTCAAGGCCGCATTCCAGCAACAAGCAGTCTACGTGAAGAGGCACTATCTTCACGACTATGAACACATCGCTCGCTATCCACAAGAGTCATTGCGCAGTTTCGTGAACAGGTACAAGCGATGTGAAGCTGCACTGCTGGGCATCGGCGTCAACGTGTCGCTGACATACGACGAGGAAGCACGCGGCAGCCGCCTCCTGGATCGCTGTCGGTTGAGCAGCGACCAACAACGGCTGATCCTAGTCGGGACCAGTCAGAAGATGTCTTTCTCCGTGGTGGCTCAAGCGCTCACCATGCAGTACCCCGACTACAAGCCACCACCACCAGTCGTCCAGAGAGACGGCGCTCCAAAGGGCACCAGCAAGGGGCGCAAGGGCTCGTTTGGAACTACTTCATCGAGCTCGACATCACCCCACACTTCCACGACGGCCTCCTCTGCGACCTCCTACCGCAAGGGCGATGGGAAGTCAAGATTTGGAGATGGCAGGCCCCGTCGTGTTTTTCAGACCATCACCGAAGATCAGCAAGCTGAGGACTCCAGCGGCAACCATGACTACATCAATGATGATGACGAGTACCTCTTGCCGGACTCCACCGATAACCAGATTGAGCATGCTGTTCTTGCGGCTGAACATCAGCCGGATGATGATGAAGAAGCCGGCGATAGTGCTGGCGAGTTGGATGAGTTGACCCGCGTCCTCACGGTGACAGCCAAGAAATTGGCATCCATGAATCAGGGGCGCAAGTTCCGGAACGCCCCAAAGAAGAGCATTGAACAGAGGAAGCAGGAAAGCCCCTGCGCTGCATGCGGTCAACTTGGCCATTGGGCAGGCGACAACGCCTGTCAGGTTTCCTCCAAAGGCCAGAAGGCCGGCAAGGGCAAAGGATCTCCTGACAAGGCCAACAAGGGCTTTGACGGCGGCAAAAAGGTGTTCACCGTGAACCACTACACCGGATTCGACGTCGGGGACGAATTTGGACTTGAAGACCACTCACCTTTTTCTCCTCATGAAGTATTGGTTGTTTTTCAGAATGCCACCCATGTGAACTTCAAGAGCAGCAAGGCAGCACACTTCATGATTTTAGACACGGCCTGCCAGAAATCTTGTTGTGGACACGAGTGGTACATCGAGCACCAGAAGATTCTTGAACGAAATGATCTACATGCAGTACTTCACCCCCAAAGTGAACGTTTTCAATTTGGTGCTGGCGAACCACTGGTATCCAAGACCTTGGCACTCCTTCCGATCGGCATCGACAAGCGCATGTGTGTTTTTGGGGTCAACATCCTGGACGCCTCCATTCCGTTTCTGTGTAGCCTGAACCTCATGAATCAGATGGGCCTCCAGTTGGACCTCGCTAACCAAACAGCCATCATTGGAGCTTTCAACAACCACAAGGTCCCCCTCACCAAGGTTCTGGGCCACCTTGCATTGTGCATCACAGATTTTTCCATGGACTCCCATTTCTCCACCTTCGTTCATGAGCAGTGCAGTTCATGTCCGCCTCACAAGACGGAGTTCATCTCTTTTGATGCACCGCCGCAGCACCAGCAGATGGACCAAGAAGACGTCTCGGTGAAGACGCAATCATCTCCCCGGATGCACGAGTCTCCAACCCACACCGACCTCTCATGGGCAAGCCTGGTGAAGAGGCTGCTGCGTCTACGCAAGAGCGTGTGGGTGCAGATGCAAGCCGCCATGAAGATCGGCATCATCGGGATGAACTACATCAGCAAGGCAGCAGCAAGCACCGAGGAGCCTCCAAAGGGGCGAATGACGGCAGTCAAGAGCAAGGCAGCCAAGCCGAAGAAGACTTCCCAGGCATCTTCCTCACAACAGCCGCCACCGGAGCTCGAGCTGAATCTCCCACCTCCAAAAGGACAAGTTGCCAAAAAGGGCAGTTCAACGACCAGCCAAAGACCCGTATGTCCTCATCCCGACTTCATCAGGTACGGGAACGGCTGGGGCAGTTTCGCTCGATGCAAGGTGTGCTACCAACGTTGGAGGTGGAACGCCGCAGACGGCGTATGGAAGTCGGATGGCTGCTCCTCAAGTCCCTCGCCATTGCCGCAGTCACCTTGGATGGGAGTGGGAACTCCTACCATGGTCTACGAGGAACCCTCGGACCTGACGGCGAACCTGGGCATGGGCTACCAAGTGGCACAGGAGCCACCCTGCGTGATCTATGGTCAGATTGGGACGGGAGCGCAGGAGCCTTTGCCACCGACTCGGCGCAAGCCCAAGCGAACATCCAGAGCAGCATCAATGACATCTTCAGCCGCGGGCCATGGTTTGACTGCCGAAGCACTGCAGGACTTCGACATCTTGATGAGCAGCAACCAGAGCCACGGCCGAGGAGCGAGCATCTTAGAGTGGGGGTCAGGAAGCAGTTGAGCGGCTCCATCAACAAGAATGTCAAGATGTTGGAGAACGAGGTCTACATCCTCAACAAGCTGCCGAATAAGGAGACGCTCGGTAATAAGGTGGACCTCATGGAGCTTTACAGTGGTGAAGCACGGCCGAAATCTTTGGCACCCCGCTACGGACTCACCTCCATCCAGCCCTTTGAGTTGCAGGACGGATACGACTTAGATGCACCACATGTCCGGGGCTGGGTTGAAGAAGGTCAGACAAGATATAAGCCACTGCTCCTTTTGCTTGGACCGCCATGTACGAACTGGTGCATTTTCAATGAGAACCTGAACTACAAGCACCGGATGGACCAGCTATCTGCACTCCGAGCTCAAGAACGCCCTCGAGTGAAATGGTCTGCTGAGAGATGTCTTCATCAGGCCAATCGTGGTGACCTCTTTTTCTTCGAGAACCCACTCAAGAGCCGGATCTGGTCAGAACCGGCCGTGCAGAAGCTTATGAACCATCCGGACACGGTCAAGGTGACCTGTGATGGTGGCGCCTTCGGGGCGCAAGATGAGGATGGCTACAACATCATCAAGACCTATGGCATCCTCACCAATTCCAAGAGCATCGCCAACCGACTGGCGAGAAGAATGACCAAACAGGAGAAGACATTTTGTCGACCCCTCGAATCCAAGCACGTGACGGCATCTCAGGTGTACCCCATTAAGATGGTGCACGCAATTCTCCAAGGCCTCAGAGAAGAAGCCCGTCAACGTGATCCAATTCGCTTTGAACCACCTCAGATGGTGTTCTATGCCAGGCCAATCGCTGACGAAGGAAGATGGCGAGAAGCACTGGACATGGTGAAGAAGACCTTCGGCACGTCCGCCAATAAGTCCGTCCAGCTGAACTCCACGAGCGCCATCTACAAGATAGTGGCCGACCTGGTGCCTTGGGAGCTCACACGAGTTCAAATCGCAGCCACACCGGCTGTAAGAAGAATGCCGACGGACGTCCTCTACACCCACCGTGGGCTAGCTGTGGTCTACAACGACTCCTCCATTGACGTTGAAAGCGAGGACCTCAGCATGATCGAACACCCGAAGCAGCGCTTCGCTCGACCGGTCGCCCATGGCATCTTCTTCTATGGCAACGCAGAGGACGAACCGAAGCCAGTGGATGAGGCAGCAGTCCCACCGGAGCGTCACATTCCGGGACTTCGCACCGATGTGAACTTTCCAAATCTGCCACCTTCCATACCTCGAGAAGTACAAGCATCAGTGGCGCGGCTACACATCAACGCTGGTCATCCAAGCCGACAAGAGATGATCAGACTGTTCACCATGCACGGTGCCATCACAGCCCAAGTCATCTCATGCCTCGACCATCTACAATGCGGCACCTGCAAGAGGACGAAGACACCACAACAACCTCGACCAGCTGCCGTACCAGTACTCACTGGACAGTTCGGCGACAGACTGCAAATGGACCGTTTCTGGGTCCGTGATCTCAGTGGAACAAACCACTGCTTTCTTGGAGTCGTGGACATGGCGACCAACTACCAGCAGGCCATTCGACTGACTGGCAACGGCTCCAATGATGTCTATGAAGCCCTACGTCAACTGTGGCTTCGACCTTTTGGTCACCCTCTGATGATCGAAGGTGACGACGACAGGAACTTCGGCGGAGTCTTCAAGGAGCGACTGGAAGCCAACGGCACACATCTCATCATCGTGCCAGGAGAAGCACACTGGAGGATTGGAACCATCGAGAGAAAGAATGCCATCCTCCGACAAGTCGCTGAACGATTGATCGATGAGCGTGGTGCCTGCACAGGAAGCGACCTGGACGACATCATGATCGCCTCTCTCCAGGCCCTTAACAGTTCAGTCACCAGCAAGGGAAGAACCCCATACCAAGCTGTCTTTGGTCGCCTCCCACGTTTTCCTGGAGACCTACTTGGCGACCCTCACGCACTGCTGGCTAACTATGACGCCACCTATGCCGAAGAAATGAGATGCCACGCCCTCCGCGTGATAGCTGAAGTTCGAGCAAGCCACGTGATTCGCAGAGCTCTCCTGCGCAAGACTGCCACCTCAAGAGAAGAAGCTCAGTCAATCCTACCAGGTGCAATGGCCGCCTACTGGCGATGGCAGAAGAAAGCAAAAGGGCGCAAGAGAGGCGGCTACATCCTATGTCGTCTCCTTTCTCATGATCCAGATCAGAAGTCAGCCTGGGTGCACAACGGCAACTCGACCGTCCAAGTGACCTATGAACAGCTGCGTCCTGCCTTTGGCATTGAGAACTGGTGTCCATCCTCCGAGGACATCCAGATCTTGAAGAACGGCGCACAGCAACTGCAGCAAGGACTCTGGGGTGATGAACGTGGACCTGGACCTCCTGCTGACGAACCAGTACTACCAGAAGTGGCACATGAACAAGCACCGGAACTGGCAGACCTCGTTATGCCAATTGTCCCAAGCGCTCCAACACCTGCTCCAGCGCCAGCGACACCGGCGCTCCCGACGGGATCGATGCTTCATGAGCCGACTCAACCACCGGCGTACTCACCGACTTTCAAGCAGAAGAACATCCAGATCAACTTCGGGGCTCAACGCACGCCTCACGGAATGTACGAGATGAGTCACCCATATGCAGCACCTTCCGGTGGAAACTACGATGCACTTCCTCCTGAAGTACCTCAACCGGTACTACCTGCAACCGACGTTCCGGTACCTCCAGACACAGAATCGGTACCAGCACTTCTACCTGTTCCAGCCTTGGGAGAAGAGCGGCCAGTGACTGATCAACTGGTAACACAAGATCCGCCTGATGTAGAGCTGACCTTGGAAGAACAGCTTCACCGTGACCTCAACACCGGCGAAGCCCTACCTAAGGTGCCTCGGACCTTCGCATCTACGCTGATGACCTATGCTGACCGAGGACGTCCACAACAGCTCACACTACCTCCTGACGGATGGGATGGCTCTCCTCTACTTGAACTACCAGAGACCTCCTACGTCTTCCGGGCTGCTGCTGGCCGAGCGGAAGATGAACCTGTGTCCTCCAGCTCATCGGACGATGAAAAACGGAAAGAGCCTTCCTCACTGAACAAGCTCTCGCGGCAAGAGAGAAAAGCCTTGGACCGAGAAATTCCCTGGCGTGAAATCCTCAGGCAAGACCCTGACACCATCAAGGCCTTCGTCCAGTCAAACATCAAGGAGTTCGAATCCTGGATGGCATGGGACACGACTGTACCAGTCCCTGAGGAGGAGGCGGACAAGATCCTGAAGGACCCAATCCTTCGACGAAGGGTGATTCCTGCAAGGAACGCCTACAGAGACAAAAATCGGCAAGTACCACCGCTGAAAGCAAAGTGCCGCACCGTTGTGCTTGGATGCTTGGACCCGGACTTGAAGAGTCTGGAAAGGTGCTCACCTACACCTTCACGGGTGGCCGAAGCAGTCCTGCTGCAGATCGCGGCCTCCGGCTACAACAAGAAGGTGCAGCTGCAGAACAAGTCCTGGCGACTGTGGGGAGGTGATGTGTCCACAGCATTCCTTCAGGGAGCTCCTGAAGAACGCTCACAGCCACTCTACATGAAGGCACCCCGAGATGGGATTCAACGGTTGGCCGGAACTTTTCCTTCAACCCTCTACAAGATCACCGGCAACCTGTACGGCTTCTGCAATGCTCCCAGGACATGGACCAACCACGTCACCAACATCCTCCTCAACAAAGTCAAGCTAAAGCGTCACAAGCTAGAGCATATGATGTTCTATGGCACCGACAAAAATGGGCTGCTTGAAGTTGCAGTCATCGTCCATGTGGACGACTTCCTTGCCGTCTTTCGGCAAGATTACCCGGAGCAAAACCTGCTGCAGCACTTCACCTGGGGCAGCCAGTCCTACCTCACTGAAGAGTCCCCGATCATTTTCCGGTGAAAAGAGATCAATTTGGTGCGAGAGAACGACCTGCTTGTGATAAAGGTGACACAGATGGCCTTCATCAGGGAGCTGACGCCCGGCGCCCTGCCTCGAGGACGCCTCAGTGGAGCTGAGACCTTGAGCACCGCAGAATGGAAAGAGTACCGCAGTTGTGCGGGCTCACTTCAATGGTTGAGCGGCCAAACGAGGCCTGATGTGTGTTCGACAGTGTCGTTGAGCAACAAGGGCATGGACACTGGCCCAAAAGAACTCCAAGCTCTATACCAGTGCATCGAAATGGTGCGCAACACCTCTGACATCGGCATCATCTACTACCCCACCGGCTTCGATCGAGCTATGCACCTCGTCGCCTACGGCGATTCCAGCTGGGCTAACGCCCATCAGAGCAAATCCCAAATGGGGATCGTGATCCTCTGCTGCTCTCCCGCATGCCTTGACGGGACAACCCGAGCAAGCTTGCTCGACTGGAAGAGCACCCGCAGCCCGCGGGTGACGAGAAGCACATTGGCTGCCGAAGCCAATGCCATGGACGAAGCAGTAGACAGATGCTGCTACATCAATGCCTACATCACCGAACTGCTCTACGACCAGAAGGAGCCTCTCGGTGCCCGTCTTCTGAAGCAGCTGCAAGTGACGGATTGCCGTAGCTTGTACGATGCCGTCCTGGCACCGAACCCCGTGTTGTCCGAAAAGCGGACAGTGATCCAAGCGCGCTCCATACAGGAGTATGTGCAGGGCAAGGACCTGCGATGGACACCCACCACGGTGATGTGGGCCGACGGACTCACGAAGTCCGCTCCTGAACTTTTGAGCCTTTTTCAAGCATGGCTCAGGCGACCGGTGTGCACACTGGTGGCAAAAGAAAACAAAGACCAGTGTGAATTTTAGCCTTGTGCATCCTCATTGCCACCTGCCACCGATCGCCGCATCCCAAACCGCCCAACAGCTGGGCCCACTTGAGCATCCGCTTTGTGAAAAGGCGCTCGCGGCGTCTTTGTCTTGTTTTCCTTTCGTTGCCACAAGAAAATATGAGAAACAAGAAACCACTTATTATTTAGCAACAATGTTCGCTACTAGTAGCAAAGGGCATCGCTACTAGGAGCAAGGACGCTACTAGGGGCTCCTGGCATCGCTACTAGGAACAAGAACGCTAGCAGGAAGAAAACATGTTATTTGAGAAGGCTAAACGCAAAAACAGAGGTTACAGCCTTTGAGGTTTCCGCGGCTGCGCTGCTTGTGGCAAGAGCAGCTCCGCAGGTTTTGACTTCCTGTGTTGCCTTAATTGGTTTTCTTTTTCTTTTCTTTAGACCTTTTGTATTAGACTAGACGTCTTTTTTGTTTTCTTGTATTGTTTTAAGACACTAGACAATTGATGCATTTTTTTGTTGTCAGGAAGTGCTGGGGTGCTTCCTCTACGGCTGGAAGAACCGCCCTTGCAATGCGCTTGTTTGCGGTACAGAAATTAAACTGAACAGATGTGTTTTAAACATGAATTCCTTTTGATTCCTTTTTTGTTTTGTTTTTGTAGTTTATCTGTTTACCTTTGGACCTTTTCTTTCTTTTTCTCTACGGCTGCCTGAGAAAATGAAAGAAAGGATCCTTTAAAGGGCCCCCCCGTTCGTGAGGATCTCGAGTGCAATTTGGGGTACACCAAATCCTGTCGCGTCCTTGGCCGTTAAATGCCGATATTGTGATCTTTCGGCAAAGAGGAACATCTCTGCTTAGACTTAAAACGATGGGCCTCCACCCTACTAGCGATGGCCTCCAACCTAACAGCGATGGCCTCCACCGATATTCTATGTGATCTTTCGGCATTTAGGATCTCTGTTTGTGATTTCTGTGCTGACTGCCTGCTTAGACTTAAAACGGCGGCGAACGGTTTCACAAGATAAAGCGATCACTTGTTCGCAG